ACTTGAAAAGGTTTAAGAGCTAAAATTAACAAGGTTCGGTAACACTTTAATTAGGTCTCATTTGTTAATATTAGTTTATGTATTAGCCAACATGATCTAAAAATGTGCATGTTTTTACAGTATTTATGAATCTTTGTTAATATTAGTTAATTAAAATATAGTTTGTTAAAGTTAGTTAATACAATTTATAGTCATTGTTCATGCAAGTTCACAGTGCATTATAATTTTAATACACAACTTTTGAATATAATAATGCATTATTAAATGTTTAAATTAACATTAACTAAGACTAATAAATGCTTAAAGTATTATTCATTTTTAGTTCATGTTAACTGAAGGAGTTAAATAATACCTTTTTGTAAAGCATTACCCGTTTGAATCTTAGTGTTCACATTTTGCAGTAGAACGTCACATCACATTTTGTTTGTATTAATTCATGGGTTGTGTGTTTGATGTAGGCTACTGTGTGTTTGCTTCTAAAATGATGTTTGTACTGGTAATCCCTAGGTTATGGGGACCAAATTACCCCAAAAGTATAGTAATACCAGTAAATTACATGGAAAGAATCTTATAAATCATACAGAATGATGTTTTCTGAAAATGTAAAAACACAAAAATGTTTTCTGTGATGATAGGTTTAGGTTTAGGTACCTTTGTATGAGGGAGAACATGATTGTGCATATAAGCATCATTGCCCTCCAGACTCTTTCTAAATTAGAGTTAAAGGGATAGTTCACTTTAAAATGATAATTCTGTCATCATATACTCACCCTCAACTTACACTTAAGTGATCTTATGAATCACTGACAACTCTTAAATAACTGGTTTGTAAATAATGCTATACTTAATTTAGAAATTATTAATTGATCATTAACAAAGTATGAAAATATAATTATTAAACACATTATAGATATGCTTATAAATCAAGAAAAAGCATTTATAGCTGTATTTATAAACTTCTTATTAATGTCTATTAATGCTTTATAAATGATGAATTAACTGTTAACTCATGCTTAACTAATGATTAATAGTGTGCAGTTATTATAAAGTGTTACCTTTCTTTCTTCTGCTGAACACAAAGGAAGATATTTTGAAGAATGTCAGTAACCAAACAGTTAACTGGTCCCATTGACTTCAATAGTAGGAAACATAATACCATGGAAGTCAATGGGTCCAGTTAACTATTTGGTTACTGACATTTTTCAAAATATCTTCGTTGTGTTCAGCAGAAGAAAAATTCATACAGGTTTGAAACAACTTGAGGGTGAGTATATAATGACAGAATGTGTCAAAGTGAACTATCCCTTTAAAGTGTTGTAACTGTTTATGTATAGTGTTTCTTGGGTTTTTTTCTTGTGCACCAACAGAAAGGTATTTATGTATTTATTTTAGAGATTGTTTTGTCAGTAAATGTAGAGGGTTTTAAATTGAATTTGTGTTGATTGTAGCTAGGTTAAGACTTTTTTTTTGTCCAAATTTGAAAATATTTGCAACTATTTTTTTTTTAATTACAAATGTATTTAATTATATAATAGTGTACATGTATATTACATTAAAGTATATTTTAGTTCACATTAATTGCTTGTCAGTATATTTGGAAGTACACTTTTACCATATTTCAAAGTTCATATACAAATGTATTAAAAATCCCACTTAATTTGTTCCAAAAAATCACTCTTAATATCAACTAATAGCATTTAATTTGAGCTTAATCTGTGATACATTTGAAATCAATTACATATAATATGCAATAAGTTTGTCGAAAACATTACACTTAATTCACATTTAAGTGTATTGTTAACTGACATTAAAGTACATTTTAGTTTACATTAATTGCTTGTCAGTGCATTGTGTAGTGCACTTTAAATACATTTTAAATAGACTAGAAGCAATTATGAAAGTAAATATAAAGTTGTATTAAAGTCCCACTTAAGTGGTACCAAAAAATCACTCTTAATGACAACTTATTGCATTTTATTTGAACTTAATATGTGATATATTTGAAATCAATTACACTTAATGTGCATTCAATGCGGCGAAAACATTGCATTTAATTCACACTTAAGTGTATTGTTAACTGACATTATAGTATATTTTACATCACATTAATTGCGTGTCATTATATTGTGTAGTGCACTTTAAATATATTTTAAATACACTTGAAGCAATTATGAAAGTAAATATAAAGTTGTATTAAAGTACCAATTAAGTTGTACCAAAAAATCACTCTTAATGACAACTTATTGCATTTTATTTGAACTTAATATATGATATATTTTAAATTAATTATACTTAATGTGCATTCAGTGTGGCCAAAAAATTGCATTTAATTCACACTTAAGTGTATACCTTTAAAGTATATTATTTGTGTAATAAGTACACTTTATAAAAGTACACTAAAGTGCACTTTTTTTTCACAAGGGTACCACTACATGTATCCACCTCTGTGCATAATGCTGCACCTGACTGCATTTTCAGTATGTTTCCCATGCTTTGACCTGCTGGGAAATGTATCTCGAAAGCCCTGGCAAAAATAAGATTTATAAAATACATTCAGCAGAAAATCAGGTGCTGTAATGATAACACTCAGCTACTAAGTTCTTAAATGGGACCACAAAACTGTTTCTCTAAATAATTCAAATCTGAAATGGGAAATCCAAAACACCATACCTATGAGATCGACATTGTGAAAACATGCAGTTAAAAAGTTATTTCTGCCTGATTTATTTCACTGTAATGATCACGATCGGAAACAATGACCTTAACAACAACGATCGAAAAGATTTCGCTTGCATTGGGTTTGTAAGCTTGCATTGGGATACGATTTCTAATGTAATGAAATACGACAGGAACAGTGCACAACAAGGCAATAAGGGATGCATCTTCATCTCATAAACAATCTATAACAACATCTAGTTAACAGTATTGAGGGAGTTCAACCAATAAGCTGTGAACACTGTTCACATGGGGGTTGGTACTGTATGCACGGATGCTCAAAAGGAGGTCAATCAATCGGTTTGACTCCACACGGTTCAGTTTGCATCTGCTTGCTCAGGGCAGAGATAAAGAATATTCCATAACCACAGGGCGCATGAGCCATGCTACCCACACAGAACAACACTGGTCACTACTGTAAAACTGCTCAGAGAGGCTCTAATGTTTCTTGCAGTGCAGCGTTAGATCAGATGCAAAGATCAATTGTTGGCGTCACATTTCACATAACCAGAGTGAACAACGCACTGCGCGTTCATCTGCGCGTTCATCACAGTGAATGTTTGCTCAGTTAACTGTGAGTTGAGACATACTGCTATATCCTGGCATTGAACGACTCCTCTGTTCAGGCCCAAAACGATTCTCAACTAGGCTTATCACTGTGCTTTCTATTTCAGTGGAAAACATTTTGAACATTTGAACATATGAAACTATAACAAATTAATGGGGGGAAAAATGCATCAGTGATGAGAATATTGGAAACACTTTCATGCATCAAAATTTTGCTTGACTACAAACCAGACATTACATTCCGACAGAAAAAACAATGATGAGTGAAACAAAAAAAACAAGATGCAAACTGAATTGTGTTTGCTTTAGAGCAGCTGCAGGAACGAAGAAGACGAGCTGCACATTGAGGTGTTTGGCCAAAGCTGATCAAGTCATATATATTCAGCTCATGCCAACATGACACCACAATGGCGCGTCCTCACCCTCCTCCCGCGCCGCATTACTTCTGGCTGTTACCCCAGTGAGGAGTAATGTCAGTACACAAGGACAGTTTTCTCTCATTCATGGGCCTGACAGCACTACCAGCTAATGCACATCCCATCTACTGCCACTGGACTCTACTTGCACTGTATAAATGAACAGTGAAGGTGTTATGTAGGGATGTTATAATAATATTACAAATGTGTTTTCTTTCGCACTGGATTCTGGCAGCTAACTAAATCTCCTAAAATCTTCTAAAATCAAATAATTACACCAAACTTTTAAATGGATGCTCAAAACACACACACACACATATATATATATATATGGCAGCAAGTCACTGTTAATGAATGAGCATGAGATTCAATCGATTTATTCAAACGTCTGATTCATTCAGGAACTAAGCATTTGACTGTCTTAATGAGTGAGTCATTGAATCATTCATTCAACCGATTCGTTTAAAAAGATTCATCGAAACACCGCCGTGTGTTGCTCAGAGACGCAAAACAGTGCTGTGGCTTGTTTCGAACTATTTACGTTGGCGAAATGGAGCAAAAACTGAAAATATTGTGTCTAAAATGTAAGTCACTTAATATTAACTTCTTGTTTATTGAACTGTTGTGTAAAATCAACATCACATTTGTAATAGTGCTGATATTTGGAGAAAAAACTGCACTCTTCGTGTGATATTAAATGATAAAAATATAAAATAAATTGTTGCCCCTCATATTGAGTTTTGGGGGCATTATAAATGCATTTTAATAGACTAAATCATGCAGTGAAAGTGTGCACTCTAAATGCACAAACACACTTCTTTAACCTACTACACTACATTACGCAGAGTATGTTCGCTATCTAGGTGTGTTTTGTAAAGTGAGGGATATACTTGACAATGTCAGATCGTTAAAACAACAATTAAGATATTATCGTAGACGATATATATCGATATATATATCACACACCTATAATATATATATATATATTTATATATATAATTTTATATATATATAAAATTATATAAATTTCTATTTATTTTTTTCTATCAGAAGACTATATATTTATATCTATTTATATAATAACAGTGGAAATGTTTAATTCAGTTCAATGTTCAGTATAGCTTTGTTGTAAGCAACACTTTGGTGTCTACAGAAAATTACCATAAAATAAATCTACTCTGAGAAATATTAACTGGAGTTAAATATGTGACTACTAGCCTCCATTTCCCTACTTCTGGGATCAATCATGTATATCTATCCGACTATCTTATCCATTGATCCATAATCCCAGAGAGCTCTTACCTTCAGTCAGGCCTATGTTGATGCTCCAGTAACTCTGCAGACACTGCATTTCCTTCTTCATTCCCCTCTTGCAGCGGCAGTCGAACAGATCCATCTCCTGCAACACTTCCAGGGCTACCTGGCAATCCCTATTGGCCAACATGGTGTTCCTGTCCTTGCCTGCCAGACACTGCCTCATGATCCTGAAGCGATGGCTGCATTTTTGGTCCTGGTTACACTTCTCGGTGGCTCTTAAACAGTCCATTGAGTCTTGGTGCCCAGACTCAGAGAGAGCGGAAGAGCCCGACATGGAGAACACTAGCTCATCTATGTAGGAGGGTGGAGAGGAATGGAGGTTCAGGTATATGTTTTTACATATGAACTGAGAAATGTCCCACAAGCACAACTCTTTAATTAGATAACAGGGTAGAAGTTTACCAAATCTTTATCTATTTATGACTAATGGATCTAGAAAGACATCATTGACTGCATCCACTCATTTTTTCATTATAAAATAAAGTAATTTTGCAATGACTATACAGCAAAACAGGGTAACACTTTATTTCGATAGTCCACTTTAGACATTATACTAACTATAAGTAACTTAGCAGCTACATGTCAACTAACTGTCATTAGAGGATTAGTAGACTGTCTGCTTAATATCTGCTAACAGTTTATTTTGTTGGTCCCCCAACACACACTCTACTAACTATAAGTAACTTAGCAACTACAAGTCAACTTGTTCTTCAAACCCGAACCCTAACACCTAACCATAACCTACCAGTCTACTGACAGTCTACTAATACTCTAATGACAGGTAGTTGACATGTTGTTGAAAAGTTACTTATAGTTAGTAGAATGTCTAAAGTGACTATCGAAATAAAGTGTAACCCAAAACAGTTCAATTTAGAGAGACTATACAGCAAAACAGTTAAATCAAAGCCAGGGGCAATGATCAGATGATTGTGAGATCATTTTAATGACTCACATAGATCGCCTAGCTTAGAATGGTGTCAAAGTACGAAATACATCCCTCAAAGAGTAACATATCATATGCATCGCACAAAAGACTTCTAATTAGCATGACCTGAGTCACCAGTGAGTGACAGTCTTTTTTTTAGCATTTGTGGAAAAAATGGATTCAATTAGTGGCTTTATACTTTCCTCTCATTATTTTACAACTAAAGATTGCCTTTGCTCAATTCCACTTCTTCCTATGTGTTTGAGAGCGCCATATATTTTTTGTACATGTATGCAAATTTATTTTTTGGTCATAGGGTCATTATAACGGAGGTGCAACCCACCAGTGACACCTACAGGTGTAAATGCATCAGAATACTTACCATTCTCTCTCTCTTTTTTTTTTTCTTAAAACTGTTCAGAGCATATCAGTGAGAAGAACCAGAATGAAATATTCAGACACACCCTTGGAAAACGAATCACTGATGAATGCTTTGCATATTTAAAATAAATAAATTAATGAAAAGACTGAGAAATGCTGCGAGATGGTCTAAGAATGCAAATGTGTGAAAAGAAGAAAATCAGGAAAGTAGTACTTTACCTTCCATTTTAGTATAGATATTAATAATACTTACAGTATTATTAATTACAGTTCCACATCAGAGCTTACACTGCAACATTAAAACTAATGTAAAGCGTTACTGGAGGTTGAATATCTATTTCAAAATGTGTAAATGGTTAATATATTGTGCGGACTGTTTAAATATTCAGCCTATGTTTCATCATAGTGCGCAGAAAGGATCAAGTCTCGTCAGTGTGAAATGGTCAGTGATAAATCCACAGTGACCTTGATAATTCTCAGCGTTATTGAAACATTTACTTTACTATGAATTATTTTCTATCCACTGACTCGTAATGAGTCGGATTATATATGAGTGGGAACTATAGGATACTACTTAGATGCCATGTAAAACTATAAGACAACGTGATTAGTTATATTCATTCATAAGGAATGAAATGCAATAACTTGCATCATCATACATTTCAATATGCCAGTACCCTGAACTGATAAATCTTTAATTCCGATATCCATAAACGAAAACGGAAATGTAGCCTAATGCATAGGTTATCGTTGCTTTTCTGCTCGTTATTGAACTTGACCTCATCTTAATTTCAAGTAACTTCATACACTATTATGGTATTAAAATATAGTGTAATCCCGCCACATATTAACGTTGTTACCAGAGGAAAGTGGATAAATAGAATCTGAAGAATAAATTGAATTAAATTCCATGAGGAGATTCACTTCGACTACAGAAAAAAGGCAAAGGGATGTAAATTAAACAAAAACTTACCTAAAAAGAGCAGAAAGCCGTAGATATAGATATACATGTTTCTGTTTCTGATAGGGAGTCCGCGTGCGTTAAAGGAAGCCGCTCGTGCTGTCATATGTTCCCTCCAAATTACTGTATTCTGCTTAGTCCTCTTAAAATACCGATGCTGCTCTAAACGCTCTATGACCTTAAAAATCCCAAATTGTATCCAGCGTTTGTCGGACCATGATTCTTTTTCCTGTCTAAATAATCCAAAGCCTCATATACAGAGGGAAAAGTTCTCTATTCCACTCAGGAGGGGAACTAAACCCCAGGTTTCCGTAGGAACCGTTTTACTCGTGGTGGTTTCGGGTGGACAGACGCATATTCCCAATGCTGATGTTCTACTATTGCAAAAGGACGCAGAATTGACACGTCCGGCTTACTAAATCAATGCTCCTCTATATGATACTCCCGTTTATGTCCGAAACGAAATTCCCAAGCAAAGGCAGTGATAAACTTCAGATGGCAGAGCTCTGCGGACAGACTTCTGTCTCAGGCGAAGGCAGTGCGCTCCTGTGGAGCAAAGCATAAGCGAACGCACGTGCCCCCGTTACGCGCTCCAAACCACATGGTAAATGATCCGGAGACGGATGAGTTAATCAAACAATGAGTCAAGCTGAATCACCATACTATTCTTAACTAATAGGTTTTATGGCAAAGATAAAT